CCAAAAGTGCCACCTTTGATGAAGATTCAAGAAATAATAAAAATACCTGATATTGGGATGTTACAAGGAGGAGGAGGAGGAGCAGTAACACCAGAAGCCATCTATTTAAGAAAGAGAACACAATTAGTTTGATCACTAAATCATTTTAACATAATTACCCAATACCAAATTATTAAACAAAAGACTAGCATCCATATTTGGCTTCACAATGTAAAGTGGATTAGCCGAAAATTACAAAATAAAGTTATTTAGGTGGACACATTATTTTCGATCTCAATCTTTATGAGATTCATAGATGTAATATTTATTGACTTATGTCAATAGCATGTTAATCTCTTCCAATTCTCCTTTAACAATCATGACTGGATTAGCCAGGGATCATGAATCCAAATGGTGAATCGGCCATGGAAAGTTACAGTGAGATTTGGCTCAGGTAACACTTGAGAATCGCGATTAACATATACATTTCTTTGACTTTATTCTTCTCTTGACAAGCCGGTAAACACACACGCTTACATAAAAAAGAATATACCACAAGGCATAATTTCCATGGGAAGCATATGATTCACATTGTTAATATAAAATATATTTTATTTTACTATTTCTTAATTTAATACTTTTAACTTTGTACGATTTTCCTATCAAACCCTTTCAGTAACTCTACTTCAAAACACAAGAAGGTGGTGAGGGTGGTGAGCAACGAATGCCACTTAAAAGCCGACCTCATTAAGAATCAAAGAGACCTACGTTAAACCTTCCTTATAGCAATCAAAGTGGATGAGCCTAGTTGTCACGCGAGTACGCAATGTTTGCAGATGATGTGATACACATAAATATAATTTTACAATATATATATATATATATATATATATATATATATACACACACACACATATTTAAATTGATATATCTTTTAATTCAGTTGACTAGAAGTCAAAAATTAAATTATAATTGTCCTAATCTTTTGTCTTTTAATTAAATCAATTTGACTTTGTCCTTTAGTATAAAGGCTAGTTTGTATGTGTTTAAAATCGAAAAAGACGAGCAACCAAAATAAGAAACGAATTTAGAAAATTCTAGAATTTTAGATTCCACGACGTAGGGAATGAACAACCACATCGTGGCACACAAAAACACACAATTTTATTAAATTATTATTTTAGTTCGCAGCAGATGGCCACGACGTGGTCAAGAAGGGACCACAACATGGTAACGAAGGTCGTCGCAATCCAGGTTCAGCATCGACTCAGCCCACGATGTGGTGGAGGACCAGCCACGTCGTGACAAAGAGGCATAACCACCAAAATATTGTTTTTCAAGCATAAAAATATTTGATTTTTATCAAGGCAACTTTCTAGTCATTTAAGATGATTTAAAACAGAAACCCTACATATACGATCCCCTAACATACTTGCCAAGACAAAGTCTAAGAGCAATAGATTTGAGTTAACCATGGCTCTGATACCACTGACGGGTTTCGAGCCTATCATAGATAAAACAGTATGCAACGGAAACAACAAAAAATTATTATCTAAGACTCAAAACATAAGATCTAACTCTACTGTCCATGCAACTTATAGAACACAAGAGAATAGAATCATACATTTGCTTTCTTTGTAGATTTCTTTCTTTTGCCAAGTCAGTTGGACAGACTAAAGAATCCAACGTAGAATTCTTCTTCTGAAATCACACCCAAGATACAAGATACAAGTAGATCTAAGCAACCCTTAAACTATGAGCTTCAAACAGAACTGAAACCTCGATTTTGTAATCGACCACGACATGGAGAACAACCTGTCACGACGTGAAAATTGCACTTCGGGATTTCTTAGGGTTTTTGAGGATTCCAAACTTTTGAGGCTAAGAGGTATTTTTCTCATTTATCAAAACCAGATTTGGATCCCTCTATTTATAGGGAGGTGATTTGAAACCTTAGAGATAATTACCAAACTTAATTATAATTATCTATGGAATTCAAATCATTCTGGAATATTTCATATTCCTTTAATTACAATTAATTAATTAACAAAATAAGTCCCTCAAATAAATATATTTTCAGATCGGCTTTATTTTTTTCTTGCATGTAACCCAAAATGACACTGTTATTTATAGTAATATAACCGGGCTTGTTATGACTATGAACACTAATCTCCATCAATTCATAGATACAACTACACCACCATTAGCAAGAGCTCCCAATTCGAAGATCTTCTCTGTATACCACTTGTTCAACAGTGGTGAGTCAATCCAACAAAAATACCTATAGTCCCTCTCTTCATCCTACACAAATAGAAAAATGCAAGATTAAAAACCTTAATCAAAAGCTAGTTTTCAAAAGTGTGAAATTATAAAATATGTACCATGTAATTTGGGTAATCAAGGAACCTCTTACCTGGATTCTTTCGAGTCCATGATGTCCACATTCTAGTCAGATCTCCACAATAACACCGTATGATATTTCTGTTTGAAGAAGAAGAAATCATTGATTTTCTCTATTTCCTCCGGCCGCACCTTCGAGTGCTGTTTGAAGAAGAAGAAGTTGATTCATCAATTGCTTCGGTTTATCCATCTTAAATGCCAGATATGATGTCATTTCACATAGTGACTGTCAGATTTGGTGCTACATAAGTGTGATACTGGATCATCCACTAATGATATTGTGTTGAATAAATTAATCAGTAATTAAGACTTAATTAATTGAAAAAATATAAAAATTAAATCAACTCCAATACCAAAATATAAAAACTTTTATGAGAAGAATTTTCTTTTATTAAAACATGTTCTATTATCTGTATTTTCAAAAACTAAAATATATTAATATAATATAATAATATAATAATAACTACTAATAATTAAAAGAAAACTTCAAAATAAAAAATAAAAAATAATATTACTAATAATAATTGAAAGAAAACTTCAAAAGTAAAAAATAAAAAATAACATAGCTAAATATGATAATATATTAGGATCAGGTTGATGATGTGTAAGCATGGGACTTATCAAGTCAGTTGGAGACAGGTATATACAACTATATACTATAAGACTATAGTCTATAATTCCAAAACATTGAAGACGCATGCCCCCTCCATATAAACGCCCCCCAATATATGCCTCCAAATAAACCGCGGCCACCGTCCTCGTCTCCGGCAACGGCAGTCACCGTCGTCATCTCTACCCCCTCCCTCTTTCCCGCCGCCCTTTCCTACCGCCGCGTCTCCAGTTAAACGAGGGTCTAGTTCGATTTCCCATTCCAATATAATATCAGGTTCGATTTTTTTCATCACCATATCATATTTTGATAGATTCTGATGAGTTGCTGATTGATTTCATATTCTTTCTACTGATCAATAAATTCCATTTGTACTGATTGATTTCTTATTATTCTTACATATCGATTTTGGATAAACCTCTTTATACTGTGTAAAGAATATGAACATTCCAGAAACACTTTTATTCATATAAAGCTTTTAATTTGGTAATCATTTGTTCATCAATCGATATACAAAGAATAGAGTAAGCATGAGGACAAGTTATTCACATATCTTTGAGCAATTATACCTGCTAATTTTAGTAAATATTAGAGAAAAAAAAAACTCTACCAAAAAACCTTGACGATTTTGGATGAATTTAGTTAATAAGAATTCTTATTCGTTGAACTAATTTCAGCCTTGAAAGTGGAGAATGTTTGCATTATAATTTCATCGAGGTTTCTTATTTTTTTGAACTAATTTTGGTCGTTTGTAGTATTCTATAATATTTAGAACAATTTCATCCTTGAAATTGAACGGTTTCTTATTTTTTGAAATGATTTTTGTGTTTGTGGTATTTTTGTAACATTTAAAATAATTCCATCCTTGAAATTAAACGGTTTCTCATTCTATGAACTAATTTTGGCGTTTTTGGTATCTACCTCTTCTAATAAATTGATAGACTCTGGATCCAAACCCGAAGGCAAGACCCGGAATTGGCCTGTGATTCGAGTAACAGGGGTACTCCAAACTAGTCTGGGACTTTTATTAATCGCATAAAAACAAAAACAAACAATAGAGTACCATATTTATAGTATTTTACTAGGGATCCTAAAATAACTCAAATACCTACCTTGCTCAATACTTTAAAGATAAATCCTAATTTAATAAAAAACATATCCTAACTTATTTAAATAATTAATCTAAATAAAGTAAGCTGGCAAACTCCACCATATCAATCTGATTGTCGCCTTTGGTAGACCCTACCAAACCTTCGGGGCGTATCATTACTCCCCTCCCAAACACGCACCTTGTCCGCAAGGTGGAATTCTGGAAACTGATGGTCCAAAGCCTCCCACGGTTCCCATGTAGCTTCATAATCAGGTAAGTCCTTCCAACGGATTAAAACCTCACGGCCAACAGTACCCTCACGAACTCCCTCCACAAGCTCCGGGTATAACAATACTTCCATTTCGTCTGTCAACGTGGCAGGTAACATGGGAGCCACGACCCTGTTACCCAATGCTTTCCGCAATTGAGACACATGAAAAACTGGATGTATACGAGCATTATCCGGTAACTTCAAGCGATAAGCTACCTTACCAATCCTTTTCTAAAACAGCAAACGGCCCAAAATAACGCGGAGCAAGCTTTTCATTGCGACGACGAGCTACCGAACGTTGTCAATACGGTTTTAACTTCAAAATATACCCGGTCACCTACATTAAATTCAACCTCACGCCGACTACGATCAGCAATAGTCTTCATTAACTGTTGCGCTCGAAACAGGTGGTCTCGCAATTCCTGTAATATCTGATCCGACCCTCAAATATGCATCCACTCACTAACTGGAGTTCTGGAGCTTCCATAATAAAACAACTGTGGAGGATTCTCGACCATATAAGATACGAATGGGGTAGGTTGGGGTAGTGTTAGCCGATGTATGAAAGGAAGTATTATACCAGTACTCCGCCCAAGACAACCATTTACCCCATTAGTTGGCGAGTCACTAACAAAGCAACGTAAATAGGTTCAAGACAACGATTAACGACTTCAGTCTGACCGTCCGTTTGGGGGTGATAAGTTGTGTTGCACTTTAACTTAGTACCTTGCAAACGGAACAACTCCTTCCAGAATTGACTCAGAAAAACTTTATCACGATCCGACACTATCGACTCGGGTACTCCATGTAAACGGACCACCTCTCGTAGGAAAGCCGTAGCCACAGTTACAGCCGTGTACGGATGCTTCAATGGGACAAAGTGTGTGTATTTACCGAGTCGATCAACTATGACAAAAATGACCGTGTAACCTTCTGACCTTGGTAACCCATCAATAAAGTCCATGGTTATCTCTGGCCACACCGACGATGGTAATTCCAACGGTTGCAACAACCTGGTGCCATAGCTGAATACTTGTGCCGTTGACACACGTCACATTCTGCCACCAATCTTGCGACATCGCCCCTCATACCTACCCAATAAACTTCTCTTGCCATCCTCTGATATGTCTTATGCGAACCGGAATGACCTCCTACAACACCTCCATGAAACTCAGCGAACAATTTTGGAATCCACGGAGACCCTCGCGGCAACACCAGGCGATCATTAAAAAGCAATCGGTCATGTTTAACCGAGTAACCTGGTGGTAAATCTTCCCCATCAAAAAATCGCTGCTTAGCGGCCCGTATGTCTGGCTCGCTATCTAACACCTTCCATAAGTCACTCCAATCAAAACGACTAGTAGTTGTTAACGTATTAAGTGTTGGGACGGAATTTTTATGAGATAATGCATCAGCAACATTGTTGCATTTACCTGGTTTGTACACAATGTCAAAATTGTACCCCAATAACTTCGATAGCCACTTTTGATGGTCATCAGTCACTGTGCGTTGTTCAAGGAGATACTTCAAACTCCTTTGATCCGTACGAACCACAAACTTACGTCCTATTAGGTAAGGACGCCACTTTTGGATGACCATTACTACCGCCATTAATTCCCGCTCATAAACTGACTTGAGTCTTGCACGGCTTCCCAAAACATGGCTAAAGAAGGCTAGAGGTCGGTTTTCCTGCATCAAAACAGCCCCTACTCCATACCCCGACGCGTCCGTCTCTACTTCAAAAACTTTAGTAAAATCCGGTAATGCAAGAACCGGTACCCGAGTCATTGCTAATTGCAATTTCCGGAAAGCTTCTGTGGCTTTGGGGTTCCAACAAAAATTGTCTTTCTTCAACTGTTCGGTTAGTGGCCATGCTTCTAACCATGCTATTCTCCCATACCCCTCTACAAACTTTCGGTAATAACCTGTGAGTCCTAAAAATCCGCGCAGTTCCCGCAATGTTGTGACTCGGAGTGGTGGCTTGGACCAAAAGGGGTGCCAACCGTGACCAACGAGGACGTTGGCTCTTTAAAGCGTGGGGTATTGTTATGATCCCACATCGGCCGAAAGTACTATAAGTTGGTGGCTTATAAGTCTATGTGTCCCCTCCTCCTACAAGCTGACTTTTGGGAGTGAGTTCTACACTTGGGCTTATGGCACGATGTGGGCCTAGTATGGGATGGGTCCGTATCAATTGGTATTCTAATAAATGAAACCTAAAAATGACACGTGTCTATCTTTGACACGTGGCATTTTTCTATGATTTTTATTATTTTCTTTTTTTGGTAACAAATCAAATTCAATTCAAATTTTAAAAATACAAAATCATATCCTAATAACATTATTCTATTTATTTTGCTTAACAAATTAATTTATAATTATTTACAATCAATAATATCTTGGTTTTTTTATATTTATTATATTTTTATTTATATAAAATTTTTAGGTATACCGACCGTGGTTTCTACGGGTTATAACCTAGTTTTTGTAATATTTAAGAATAATTTCTTGGTTGAAATTGAATGCTTTCTTATTCTTTGAATTAATTTTGGTCGTTTGTGGTATTTTGTAATATTTAGAATTATTCCATCCTTGACATTAAAGGTTTTTTATTCTTTGAATCAATTTTGGCGTTTGCGGTATTTTGGTGGCATTTTTGTAATATTTAGAGTTATTTATATAAATTGTTTGTTATGTACGTTTGAGGTAATCCGTAGGTTTTTGTCATATTATTAATTTCTTTTTGATTAAATTGCAAAATTGGTCATGGTATTCCAAAAAATGCGAAATATATTTGGTCTCAATAGAACACAAAAAGTGCAGTTTTGGTCCCTGTGGTATCAAAATAATTCAGTTCGAGTCCTGTTTTTTTTACACAACGGTTAATTCAAAATACCAAATTTGCATTGAAAATAAAAATTGGTCAATGAAAAAAGAAATGGACTTGAACTGTGTTTTTAAGATACCATAAGGACCAATTTAACAATTTACTTTTTCTTTTTTATTATTCCGATGCTTTTGATTTATTTTGTCATTATTAGTTTTTTCTTATTGAGATGGTTTTGGTGTTGGATTTGGATTTTGGTTCTGGTCGACATAAAATCACTCTTTAAGGGTTTATTTAATTTTTTATAATGATTTATTTCCTCCCTTTTATTATATTGTATTGATGTCGACTTTCTCATCTTCAATTTGATTGGTTGTGTAATGTGATGGTATATGATATTGTAATGTACTAATGTTATTATTCCATACATTTACATCACCTTCAATTCATTGTAGAAATAAGAAATGGCAAAGTACCTCCCACCTGAACTCATCATCAACATCCTCTCAATGTTACCCTCAAAATCCCTTCTCCGATTTCGATCAGTCTGCAAATCATGCCATTCTCTCATCTCTTCCCCCGAATTCAACCAAACTCATCGTCACAATTTCAACAAATTCAACTCTCGTAATCTTGTTCGATGTTGTCTATGGACAGATAAAAAAGAAGTATACACTGTCCATCACAATGACCAACATCTTACTCTTGATGCCCCCATTGATTTCCCATTCAATCTTCTCCGTGTTGAATATGGAACCATATTTTTTACACTCATCGCGTGTTGCAAAGGTGTTGTTTGCCTCTATAATGAAAGATCCCCCAAAAATGAAATCCTACTTTGGAATCCTTCCATTAGAAGGAAAGTAACCCTAACTCCTCCTTCATATAGGCCTGAACTTACTCTCGTTTTCGGGTTTGGGTATTGTGAGAATTCCGATGATTATAAGGTAGTGAGACTCGCATATGATCGTAGTAACTTGATCGATAGACCGGAGGTAAGTTTAAATTCAACATATATAATATTATATGTATTAATCGATGTACACAACAGTTTTCCTCAATACACAACAATTTATGTTTTATAGAGTTGTACAATACAATATTTTAAAATATAAATTGTTGTGTATGGAGAAAAAATGTTGTGTACGAATCAGCTTCCTTAATTGATGGTAAGTGATTCGTACACAACAGTTTTTTTCTCCATACACAACAATTTATGTTTTATAGAGTTGTACAATATAATATTTTAAAACATAAATTGTTCTGTACGGAGAAAAAATGTTGTGTACGAATCAGCTTCCTTAATCGATGGGAAGTGATTCGTACACAATGGTTTTTTTCCATACACAACAATTTATGTTTTATAGAGTTGTACAATACAATATTTTAAATCATAAATTGTTCTGTATGGAAAAAAAATGTTATTTACGAATCAGTTTCCTTAATCGATAGCTAAATCTTGAACTAATTATTACCACTTTTTTTATGTGGGGATTTCAGGTTGAGATTTATACACTGTGAAAACCACGATTTGGAAGCCAGTTGTGTTCCCACAAGATTTTCCTTGCTACCATATCCTTAGCGACTGCTCACAAGTCTTTTTCAACGGATATGTTCATTGGTTAGCAGCCGATTTGGGAGTTTCACATTGCTCAATCCTAACAATGGACATGAGTACAAATCTTTTTGGGGAAATCCAATTGCCTGAGTATCTGGTGCATTATTCTTCAATGGGAGTAACACTAACAGTTGTTGGAGATTCTTTGGGTGTGATTTATTCAAACCGTTGTACAGTTGTGGGTTCAAGCACTAACAAGATATGGGTTATGAAGGAGTACAAGAAACCGACTTCATGGACATTGATATATGATGTGCATTATCTGGATACGGATTTAGGGAGACCTTTGAAATTGAGACATAATGGGGATTTGATAACTGAATCACGTAGATGCAATTTAACAATCTATAATCGTGAGGCAGGGTGTTATACTGTTGATGGATGTTGTAGCAAAGGTGTTGTTTTATGGTCGATTTCTATTGATAGATATGAGGAGAGCTTAGCATTGTTAGATGTTGAAAGTGGTGGTAACAATGAAGAGTGATTGGTAAGGTTTGAAGTGATTGTATATTTTGTGTGTGTGTGTGTGTGTGTTTTGCATATATGGTTATTATTATATTCTAATGATTGTGGAATGTAAGTAGGTTACATGGTTTGTTTGTGTAAGAAATTGAAGTCATTTGGCTAGTGTTTGAATGTGGCTTGGCTTTGTACATTACACCTTTTTATGTATTATATTTGTGTATATATCATAAACAAATGAGCTATTTTATTTGTTGATGGGTTGATTGCATAATAAATGTTTTAATCGATACTGTTCTAAAGATGAAACATGTGAGGAAGGTACGTTATTAAAGCCTCACAAAAGATTACTGTATTTTTAGGATGAGGGTAATTAACATTTATCTGATTAGTATATTGTGTGGAATCAGAAAATTTGAGTTGGAAAAGTAATAGGTAAATTGGCTTCATTAAAAATAAACTCTCTCTATAACGTATCTCAAAAAAAAAAAAAAAAAAAAAAACTTCATGGCACAACTCACGACCCAAGCTGGTTAGTTGCCAAAAATATGGCCAAAATTTACATCAACTTAATGCAGGTTATACATGAAAAAATTAAATAAAAAATTTGATTTTAGTATTGATTTTTAACTATTATTAAAGTTAGTCGGTATAGATAGATCTTTTATACTCATTTTGTTTTACTGGTTTCCAAAAGTTACATCAATTTATTATTAATTTTAACTATGTTTAAATCATTTTACATATTAATTTAAATTAATGATTATACAGTTATGGATTTAAAAATCCAACTATCTTTGAAAATAACCTATTGCAAATCCATGATTAGTTTTATGTTTTTTAAAGTTTCAATGTTGTTTGACATTGTCAACTTATAACAAAAGAATAAGGTGTTGTTGTTTTTTTTTCTAAAAAACCTCTTCTAACCACTTATTGCTGTCTCACGCAGCACACGCGCAACACTTGACCCTTCAAGCTGTTTGTTTTTCAGAAGACTTCTGACTTAAAAACTGCTGTACGTGTGCTGCGTAGCACAACACTTGACCTTCTGCTTCAAACCTCTTCACACCTTACTTTAACTTATTGCTGTTGGTGATCAAGCAATGGAACAATAAACAACAAGGAATTAACAAGGGTAAAACTGGAAATAGGCAGTCGAATGATTACTTCTTTATTGAATGAAGAATAACAACCTAATGATTGAGTTGCTGTACAAGGAAATTTCGACCGATGATTTGTAACATCTAAACTATGCTATTTAAACTACTAAAATTAACAGAAAAGAGAAATAATAGGAACAGTCCATTTTTCCAACGGTCATGACTGCCATGTGCTTTATTTTCTTCCTAATTACCAGGTCAACCTTTGACCAACATTTCTCCCCCTCAAGGTTGACCTTTCTTCTTCAGGTCTTCTATGCCAATTAGTGCCCTCATCTCAGCAAACTTTATCATTGGCATTGCTTTTGTTAGAACATCAGCCTTCTGTTGATCTCCACTCACACGCTCCACTTGAATCTGTTCCCTTTCAACACACATACGAATAAAGTGGAACTTTGTGGCTATGTGCTTGCTTCTACCATGGAACACCAGATTTTTTATGAGTGTTATAGTGGATTGGTTGTCAATTAACAGCTTCACCTTTTGTGCTTTCTTTCCCATCAGCTCACTGAACAAATTCCTTAACCACAGTCCTTGACATGCAACTGCAGTTGCAGCCATATACTCAGTTTCACATGAACTGAGAGCCACAATTTTCTGTTTCTATGATGCCCATGTTATTAGATTTCCTGAGTAGTAGTAAGCTACTCCAGTGGTTCCTCTCCAATCTTCACAGTAATTGTTGTAGCTGTTGTCACTGTAACCCTGTGATACATCAACCCATACTCAGTTGTTCCCTTCACGTATTTCAGGATATGTTTTATGGCAGCATAATGCCTTTGTTTTGGGTTTTTCATAAACTTGCTCACCACTCCAATACTGTAGTTAAGGTCTGGTATTGTGTGGACCAGGTATCTTAAACTCCCAACAAGTTTCCTGTACATTGTTGCATTCACGGGTTCACCATGTTCATCTTTGGTTAAATGGAGTTTTGGCTCCATTGGGTACTGAGAACTATTGCAGCCTTCCATCCCTGATACCTTTAGGATCTTTTCAGCATATCCCTTCTGTGTGAGCATTATACCATCCTTATCCTGTGATACTTCAATTCCCAGGTAATATGATAGCAATTACATATCTCTCATGTCAAACAATCGTTTCATTCTATTCTTGAACTCCTGGATTCCCTTTTCACTCGACCCAATGACTATAAGATCATCTACATATACTCCAACTATGAGAATCAAGTTGGGTTTGTGTACCTTGTAGACAGCTTGCTCTTGGGCACATCTGGTGAATCCAAGTGACTTGAGTGATTGGTCAATCTTTACATTCCATGCCCTTGGCGCATGTCGTAACCCATACATGGCCTTGTGAAGACGGTACACCCAGCCTTCCTTGCCTTTAACCATGAATCCAGTGGGCTGAGTTACGTAAACTTCCTCCTTAAGATCGTCGTGCAGGAACGCTGACTTGACATCCAGGTGATGAACAAGCCATTTTTCTTTAGTTGCTACCGAGAGGATCAGTCTTATCGTCTCCAACCTGGCTATTGGTGTAAAGGCTTCGTTAAAATCGATACCCCTTTCTTGAACGTAGCCTTTTGCGACCAGTCTGGCCTTATGTTTGATTACTTCTCCAGCTGCATTCCTTTTTAACTTAAATACCCATTATAGTCCTATTGCCTTGCGATTTGGGGGCAATTTGGCTAAGGACCAGGTATTGTTTCTTTCAATTGACTCCAATTCCAATTTTATGGCCTGCTTCCAAGCCCTTTCAGCCGCTGCTTCTTCATAGGTCGTAGGTTCATCAGCGATCAACAATAGTTTCTGGTCTTTCTCATACAACTCTTGTATTTCAGCCTCGTCCAATCTTCTTGTGTTCTCGTAAATTTCATTGAGTGATCGAAATCCTTTCGCTGGTGTGTCATCATATGAGGCTACAGACCCAGTTTCTGCCGATGCTTGACTTGGAGGTGTTGATCGCGACTCCAATCTGTGCAATCTTTGCTGTGGCGTATCTTCAAACGGTAGACTATGAGTTTCATGGTCTAGGTGAGAGTCACCATGTAACGGTTTCAACGGATCTTCACTCACATTATCTGCTGGATCGACTTCTTGGGCTGGTTGGGATTGGGTTGCCATACCGATCACACTGTTCGTCCAATAACGGGTTGTAAGAGGCTCCCCCATTGACTCGTTATTCCAAGCCTAAGATTTCGCTTCTTTGAACATCACATCTCTGGCTACTACAATCCGTCGACTACTGGGATTATACATACGATATCCCTTAGTTCTTTCTTCAGTTCCCAAATACACCATAACCTCACTCTGGTCGCTCAATTTTGTTAGACCACACAATGTTTTGACGAACCTTACACACCCAAAGACCTTCAGGTGTGCTAAGGATGGCTTAGACCCCTACCAGACCTCGTATGGAGTTATATTCTTTAGTGCCTTCGTCCCAATTCTATTCTGCAAGTACACCGAGTGTCGTACTACCTCGCCCCAAAATTGATCGGGCAGTCTCATGGCCTTGAGCAGCGATCGAGTCATCTCTAGAATTGTTTGATTGCGCCTCTCCACAATGCCATTTTGCTGGGGCGTGTGTGGAGTTGTCAATTGCCCACGAATCCCAGCTTGTTCACAGAAATTAGCGAACTGGGTGGAGTTAAACTCGCCTCCCCGGTCAGTTCGTAACATCTTGATCTTATACTCGCTCTCCCCTTCAATTCGTGACTTAAATTTCTGGAACATGTTGAAGGCCTCGTCTTTGGTTTTGATCATGTACACCCACATGTAACGTGAGTAGTCATCTACAATTAGTAGGAAGTATTGATTACCGCCTTTTGTTGCAGGTGTAATGGGTCCACAGAGGTCTGCTTCCAACAGCTGGAGTGGGTCTTTTGCTCTCCACTGGGTCACCTTTGGGAAGCTCTGTCTTGCCTGCTTGCTTACCATACAGCCTTCACAAACTTGTGATGTATGAGTCAACTGGGGCATACCTGTCACCATTCCCTTACGTGTCATCTCTCCAAGTAACTTGAAGTTTGTGTGACCCATACGTGCATGCCATAACCATGAGTCATCATCTATACTCATGGTCAGGCATACATGCTTCCTAGGCATAAGCTTTATTTTATAAAGTCTGTTCTTGGACCTTTGCACCTTCATAACTAGGCAGCCTGCTTCATCATACATACTAAAAAACTCTTTCTTCATCCCTATGTCATACCCCTCTTCAGTCATTTGTCCTAGACTGATTATATTGCTGTGCAGAGAAGGAATATAATACACGTCTGGGATGACAAATTGGTCGCCATTCTTACAGTCAAACAGGAGAGTGCCTTTTACTTTGACCGGAACCTTAGACCCATCTCCGAATCGAACCTGCCCCGTTACTTTCTCATCAAGTTCAGCGAATAAGGCCTTGCATCCGGCCATATGGTTACTAGCCCCCATTGTCTAGATACCATATGTTTTCATCATTACTCTCCTTGAGTTGGCTTGGGTAGACTTTTTCTTCATTCAAAAGGACTACTTCGGAAATCTTTTCTCCACAAACAGTCAACAGTAGAGTTGGTTCCTCTTCATCAGTGTTGGAACCTGAAAGTGAACCTCTAGCAATCCTAAGTACATATTCCGAAGGCTGTTGGTTCCGATGGAAAAAGTGATCCGGAACCTGTCCGGAGCTAAAGAAAAGGAGTAAAGTATTTTGAAGAGGAACACATTCTGGAGCTAATCCTGAAGTCCGGAATGCATGTTGATCCGGAATCAAACTTTCATCTCCGGAACATTACTTGTCCGGAATGAAGTTATTTTGTCTCTTATGCATTTATTACTTTTGTCTTGTATTTTGATGTAACGTTTCATAGGACTTAGTCTAAAGTTGATTTAGGACAATCAGAATGTCAGACTTGTAT